AGCTGTCGACATCAGGGGCCACATGACCACTTAGTCATTTTGAAAGAGGGCTTTCTGGATTATTCGTGAGGGGACATCTTTGAAGAGTTGAGGAAGGAGGCCTTCGAGGCCAAGCTCGAGGGCTCTGGATGGATCCTCGCACGAATTCCAGGGCCTCCTCACAAGCCTCCCTCCTCCAGCCAGAGCATCCCGCCAGCCGGTCAACACTAAACATTAAGTTCCGTGTGAAAGGAGCTGTTCGGTTGGGGGGACGGTTCGCTTAAAAAGGCGGTTCAAACCGGTTCAGTTCAAGGCTGGGTTGGGCACTTACTTGATTGCAGAAACTAGAGTTGAGGGGCTTCAGGGCATTCAGGGGTCAACCCGGGGTTCGGATTCTTCGGGTAGATCCGACCCACCTTGAACTTCCCGGTGCCCGAAATAATACTGAACTCAGGGTTTGGGGCCTGAACTTCTATCATACTAGCTCCTCCTCTGTTCAGGAAGCTCAGCGACCTGGATTCCAGCGCCATCGGGGCCCTGGCCGGTCTCCCGGAGAATGCAGCCTCAGAGCTCGTCCGGGGTCTTCGACCTGCTTCCGTATCAAACTTGCCCCTTTGCCGCCGGAAGGATCCCGAATGAGGGTTGGGGGTTAAGGTCTTTTCCAAGGCTGTTTAGGTTTCTAAGACCTCTCAGGGTTTGAGCTGTTTAGGGCTTCGTTTGGATGCGTTTTTAGGTTCAGAATTCCTGAACGCTAACAGTTCACGAGCCCCAAACCTCGACAAACTCCAACCTGACCCCTCGAAACTGCACAAACCTTCAACCGCCTCAGCCGCCTCAGCTGCCTCAGCCGCCCCAACCCGTTCCCATGTTCGGACCGAAGCCCTTGCCTGCCTTGTGAAAGTACGAGAGTCGAGCCCTACAAATGAAAGGTCCGCCTTCGTGTCTGGCGCGGCGAAGCGGCTGGGCGCCCAGTGCCCTTTGGCCCAAGCACTCGTCGAGGGATGGCCGGCGGTGGCAAAGGTGCTGGGCAAGGCCGGCCCACTCAACAAATGTCCTAGCTGCCATTGTTTTGGAAGGGTTTAGGGATGTTTAGGGGGAAGGAGTGGAAAAGAGTCAGATAAAGATACAGAAGAAGAATTAGCCGTGGACGAAAAGATGTTAGAAGAAAAATGAAACTTAGAAGAAAAAATAGAAGAATAATATGTAGAAGACAACATGTGACAACATGTCAGAATAAAACGAAAATTGAAGGAAAAGAACAAGATAGTTTCCTAAGCAGCAAAATGCAGGTCGAGCATGCAGTGCATGTTCGGATGTCACAACCCTTCCTGCCATGTGAGTCTGAAGAGTCGTGGTTTCAGACTGATTTGCGACACATGTTTCGATGATTTCAGAAGAGCTTGGCGAAAACCACGGCCCGATGGAAAAGGGGGTGCGGTGTCTTGAAGAAATGGGGCGAGGGAGGGGGGGGGGGGGGGCTTGTTCCCAAACTGTTCTACGTCTGGAAAGTTTTGCTGAGTCTTTCCGGCCAGGACATCGTAACCCGGATGCAAAAAGGGTTTAGGGATGCTGCCAGCGGTCAAGGCAGGCAGTGGTGAGGAGACCTAAGCTCTTTGTGGGCCTTGGAAATAACAAGGTGTGGAGGGTGAGGGCTGTCCAAGCTCTTAACTCGATGATGGGGATCTGCCCCGGTTATGCTAGAATTACAATGAAGGCAACTCATGCCTGGCCTGTGTACATGAAGCCGTGATAACCCTGGAAGCCCTCCGCCATCGATTTTTGTTTACGTTCCAAAGCTTTGACAAACCTCAGTACTCCTTAAAGCGGCCAGTAGCCACAGGGCGAGGACGCGGTCGGCGGCCAGTCGCTCGTCAAGGCCATCGCCCTCGCTTGCGAGCAGCAGACGCCCGAGGCATTCAAGACCATACCGGGGCCACGTCTTCCATAGAAGCAAAGACATATCATGCATTGCATCATCTGCATATATACGAAATATACGAACGTATTGTACGTCTGTCTGCATGTATGTATGTATGCACGTATGTATGCAAGAGTGTATGTTAGATATGAGTTCTTACAACTCTTCTCCGCAACATATAATATGTATATGCATATATAATATATATAATACATCTGTCTTGCCACCAGCGTGACACCAGCATACAAATCGACCAGCTAGGCTGTCAGAGTCTGTCACATAAAAACACAGAGCCTCGCTAACAAAGCAATGAATCACACAATAACAAGAATCCATCAAGCTCCCCCCCTCCCCCGAGGCCTTCGAGCTGGCCTGCGCCGCGCTGTGCCGCTTCCCAGGCGGCTCTACTCCGCCCCTCTCCACCTACAACAAGATCTTCAAGGCTCGGCTGCGCATGAGATTCGGAGTCTAAAGGTTTGACAGAAAGCGTCTCTTCAAGGCTTTTGGTATGTCACTTGCTGTTCTGGAGGCTTGGAGCAAACGTGGCTGGTAGGTGTTGGTTATGCGTCTCAATCAAATCCAAAGCAACAAAAACATCTTGAACATCTCTGAAACCGTCTTTCCGTCCACGTCCCTAAGAGGTTGCTGGGCGCGTCGGACGATGGCCCAAGGCGATGGGTTTGGCGCTTTTGCTAGGCTAAGGGGTTTAGGAGGTGCTGGTGAGGCTCTACAACATCCATTTGTAGTAGGGTTCCGCCGCAGCTTGGGTCATCGTTGTGGTATGCAGGCCCTGGAACTCTTCGGCCAGCTGCCCGAACACCTCCAGCCAAACCGCTACACCTACACGGCCCTTTTCGATGCGGTGGTCAAAGGTGGGGAGAGAGGATCAGAGCACATCTTCGCCTTTAAACTCTATTTTGCCTACCTAGGTTTATCCCAATGCTACTCCAAGAACTGCTAGGGTACTGAGCTGTAGATAGGTGGAGTCCCATACAGATAGTAGTCATAGGCTCGGTTCAGGGCTTGCTTGAGAGTTGTGCCGGCAGTCAACATCCATAGAAACTAGCTATGATCTTGTGTTGACATTCTGGCGAAATCTGAAAACGAGTTTGGGCTCGGACACGAAAGTCTAGCCTTGCTGCGGTCTTGCAGACCTTGCAAGGCTCCTCTTAGTATGGGTTCGAAGACAAACAAACACTGGAAGCACAGGTTTACAGAGCCTCGATAGTAGGGCAAGAACCAGAAGCACTTAGTAGAACAACGTCCTCTATCGATTGTCTCCACTAACCATGCCATGGATGAATGGGAGCTTTGTGTATGTCGTGTATGTTGCTGTATTCTGTGCTTAGGTGCAGCTCTGGCTTCTTGCGCAGATGATGCATTCCTCCTCTACACTCTACACCAGTTCATGTATGTCATCTCGGTGCAGTCGGTGTCCTCATGGTCAGTCTCCTTTCCACGCCGTGCGAGTGCCTAAACCCCAAGTCTCTCATCCTCGCATTGCCAGACGCGAACCCCCCAAGAAGCCCGTGAACGAAACCCCGAACCCTGAAGATCTCAGAGCCCAGACCCCAGGTGGAGGTCCTCAGACAGTCTTGTGGGCATTGTGGAACCACCTGCAACGCAGCAAAGTGACCAGGTAGGCGCTTGGGATATTCTGGATGACTGGACATATTGAAGCGACCCCCTTTTATCGGGTTTATGTAGGGCTGATGCCAATTGGCTTAGGGGTTAGGCATGGTATTTGAAAAAAATTCTCGCGCTTCAAGTCCCAACCTAGGTGAAGCCTGACCTCCAGCTCATGAGCACGATGCTTCAAGGTAGGAGATCCCGGGCTGTAGGGCGTAGGGCTGAGCATGGAGTGCTTTGAAACTTTAGAGGAGGAGTATGTTGTTGAGTTGAGGATGTCGAGCGGGTTCGGAGGTCACCCTGAAATCTCAAAGAGTACTTCTCCAAATCCCTGAACCCTGCGCAGACTTAGCATCTAGCTTTGCTGAGTGGCTCGTCCAGCTATGCAGGTGCTGAAAGTATGTTCCGCACCTCCAAAATCTGTCCGTCACAAGTGCATCATGACCCCGAAAGCCGCCCACAAGTACCCCCGCAAAAGCCTCCAAACTCCCCAGTAGCCCTTCGGGGCTCTTAAGAATATCTCCTGCAGAAAGCTCGTCTTGCCTTTCAAAGGTTGCTCCGACTCCTCCGTGGTGGAGGAGCTGCTGGGAGAGCTCGACTGGCAAGGTCTGGCACCCAATCTGGAGGCAGTGTAGGGTTTTGGAGAGGCAAAAGGGACTTGCAAATTCGCTCTCCAACTTAAGTTTCTCTGCCAACGATGGGGAACATTTTTATTGGCACAGGTAAGACCGGTGTGGCCCAAACTAATTTTTCCCGAGAGCCTCCCCCCCGAACTGCAGACCTCCGAATCCGGAACATCCAATCCAAGCACAGAGGCCCACACTCGAAGTCATGGGAAAACACCCACCCCAACCTTCCGTAGGGATTCAGGATGCGCTTCTCATTCTGCCCTGGCCAAGAGGTTCTCACCAGCATGCTCGGCTGCCTCAGACGCGCGGGCGCCGCGACAAACAAGACCTGGGAGGCCACGAAGGACAGGAAACACTTCGGGGATTTGGGGAGGTCTGGGGGCCACTAAAGAGGCCTTGGTCACTTATGCCCCCGAACACCTAGGTTCTGCGGAATGCCACCTGCCCACCGTAAACCCGAAACCCGTACACCACGTAAACTCCCATGAACCAAAATAAGCTGCTTCCGACTTCGTGAGGTGCTCTCGCTGGCCAAGAGCTGCGGCCTCACCTTGGACTGTCAGTTCCTTGTCCAGGCGCCGGCCTCCGTCAGGGGTAGGAGGAAGGGCAAGCCCCATACTTGAAGGCACCCCACGGCTTGCGCTGCAGCATCTCAAGAACAATCAGCAAAACATTCAAAACCCTGAAGTGGGGGTTGCGTGGCTGGTTGCACTAGCGTGAGGCCTGCTGCTGCGCAGAGTGCTTGCAGAACCCTAAGCTCCGCGCACGAAAGTTCATGTCAGGACAGCAGCCTGTCCGATCTTAGAGACCCTGGGTCTGCTCTGGGATAAAAAGCCCTCCCTAAGCTGAGACATTGACCTCAACCTCAAACCGGTCGCGCAGCGATCTGCCCGATGATGGATCCCCCTGCTTGCTGGCAACAGTGCAGACGACATGGTCTAGTTGTGTTTGTTGTGCTGGTTCTCGTTGTGTTCTGGCGATCTTGCAGCGGCAGTTAAAGCGCGGTTGTCGTCCTGAAAGATTGTTTCCTGCAACGCAACCTCTGCTTGCCTGCTTTGCTGCCCGCCAGAAGGAGACTCCCCGATACCCCAAAAACCTTGCGAAGTGCACGTTCCTTGGCAAAAGCTTCCCAGTACCCCGCTCAGGTGGTGACGGCCCTGGGCTTTGCAAACGACACAGGTTGGCCAGCGGGGTGTGTTCCTCGTAGGTACGTCGTAGGTTCCTCCAAAATATGAGAGGGGTTGCGCCGGTTCAGGGTTGAAGGAGATGCTGTTTTGAATCGACCCCAGCCATGAAAAGGATGCCCAACATAACACGGACCCACCCAGCTAGTTTAAACAGGTCTCCAAGAAAAGGCGGGGAATTCCTCAAGAACATTGTATGACATTTCCTGCTGATGAATTGAGGCCTCCACCCTTCGCACCTTGCCCCCGAGACTGGCCACCTTTTTTGGCTTTAAACGCACAACAAGATCATGTCGGTTTCTCCAGGAATTCGCAATCTTGCAGTGTGACGATTCTCCTCCGGATTGCTCTTTGTAACGTATTCTGATTCTTTGCTCTGGGGTCCAGTTCATGGAATGGCTTGTTAAGCAACTAAGATGTGTTGGCTGCGCCGTCGAGGTTGCAGAAAAGATGTGTTGGCCGCCGTTAATTCTCCAAATGCAATTCTTTATAGCAGCGCAATTGGCGGACTATTGATGGTGAACGAAAAAGTCAAGGTTAGCCGCTCCATTTTGTTTTAGTCTTGTTCCACAACCTTGTTCACCAGACCACATAAGACCGAAGGAAGAAAGGGAGTGGAGGGCGCACAGAAATCATCAGGTGCTGTCGTTCTACTGATGGAGAGCGTCCGCGAGGTCTACAAGGTGCCCGCAGCCTCTCTTGCGAGGATAGGAAGAATTTACTGCAAGGAACGGCCAAAGAGAAAGATCTGATCTAACCCTAAACCCAGACTTCTTTCAATTGCCGGGAATTGCCCTCCAAGGCTCTTTCCCACCTGGTGTTCCCTGCAGAAGCTCGCAACTCCCCAAACCCGAACAGTCCAAGGTATTGGCCTGGTTTTGGGTCTGCGGGGAATGAAACTTCATGCCCTGAAGCCCGAGATCGCCCTGGAGCCCTTTGAACCCAGAGCTTAGGTATGCTTAGGTACTCAGATACTGAACCCACTGGACCCTCAAAGCCACTGGAGACCATAGTTTATGAGTACTTATCCCAACATGTGCAAAGTTGTCAGAGGGCTTCAAGCTTGCCCGGGTCCGCTCAGAGGTGTTTGGGCTAAAGACTGCGTTTTCGTGCTGCACGGCAGGTGTTCATGTAAGCACACTCGTGGCCCCGTGGCCCATAACCTTGAACGTTTGCTCTGTGCGCACCCCAAAGAAAGCTTGTGCCTATTGTTCTCGAGCCTCTGAGACAATACCTCAAGCCCATGCTTATCTGGTCAAGCAAATGAGGCCCCGCATTCCTGATGCGCGAATGTAATTGCAGGGGATTTCCATGCGAGATATTGGTCCCTGAACCCTTCGGGAGAGGTGGACCCCGATGTTTTCCTCTACACAGCGGCGATTTCACAGTGTGCCCGAGCTGGCGACGTTGCCGGTGCCGAGATCATCGTGCGCCAGATGCGCCACGACAAGGCAGGCAGAGCTTCAATGTCCTTGCCGAAGTTTGCGAGGGCAGTCTGCAGACCTGAAGCAAGAAAGTGTTAGCTCCGAGGTGGAGCCCAATGAGCACACGCACTGCGCCATCATCGCGGCATACAGCAAGGCTGGCAGGTTGACGGAGGCTGTGTGTCACTTTCAAGAGGCGAATGAAGAGATGGCCTTGCCTATTGAGGGCAACGAGCACCGCCAGCGGTACACTTTTCTCTCTTCATTTTTTGAGGGTTGAGTTCTTTAACACACCTTATGACGCCCTGAAAAGGTATTGGTCTTTCCTAGTTTTATTTTGAGGAACCGAGGCTACTGCAGCATCCTCTCCGGTTGCCGGGCAGCTCTGGACAACCGCTGCGCCTTAAAGATCTTGAATCTGGGTTAGCGTTTGGAACTTCGGGTCGGGTGGATGTTGTAGATCTGTTTCCCTTGAAATTCCATGCTGCGATTTGTTTTTCCTTTGAAAAATCACAGAGAAGTCAGGAAGAAAGCCCGGCTGCAAGGGCCCGTCAAGTCTGCCTGCTACACGCTGGCTCGCCAGTCCCTAGGCGGGCACCTGGGAATTTGGATATACGTCCCTTCATATAGTGACTATTTTGTGTGTGTGTGTGTGTGTGTCCCTCTTAATTCTTTCGTGCTCAATTTCACTAAGCCCCGTCTGTTCAAAGCTCAAATAAGGGCCTGTGCTTTGGCGGGGGACGAGGCCGGTGCCGCCAAAGTGGACCAGTGGCAGAAGCGAGACGGCGGCTTGCTAACGTTTTGCACCATCAATCTCAGAAGGGGATTATACAGAAAAACATTCTAACAAAATGGGGCCTTGCAGAACTTTAGAAGAAGAGAAAGCAAGCCCCCTGTTTCCTTTCCTGGCTAAAACCTCACCTAATATTTTCTCGGTCTGTTCAAGCAAGGTGTGGCTACCCATGTCCCCACTAGCACCGTGGATGACCCCTCCACCGGGGAGCGGCTGCCCTTTCAGCCCGGCAACGACGATGCCAACGTTGCCACCTGCGTGCAGCGCATGATGCGCCGCCTGAAGGATGCGGGGTACCTTTGTATTGCCATTATTCAATATTATATATATACATATATATATATATATTTATTTGGTCAGCCCCCCCCCATGATCCACACCTATGGTTTTCTTGTCTTCGTCTTTGTCTGATTTTCTGCTTTTTCCTCGGAAAAATTCAGTAAAAACTGCACTGGAATACAAAAGCTCTATTATATTATCCTCTAGAAAAACACTAGTGTTTTTATGTGCATTTTGCTTCTGAAACTTGTCTCTTGCGGCCCCATAAAATTTTAGAAGGGCAGCCATTTAGAAGTTTAAGGCTTTTCAGGGTTTTAGGGGTTTATAAAACCTAGTTGATCTGTGGAAGGCGCCGGGGCTTCCCCAGACCATTTGCAATCCTTAAAAGGGGCAGCCCTTTTCAAATTTGAAGGGCTTTAAGGTATTTAAAGCCTTTCAAAATTTTCAAGATTTAAAGGATCTTAAAAGGCTTTAAAGCCCTAAAAAACCTCGAAACGTTTATCCCTTAAAAGTCTAAACTTCCTGAAAAGGAAAAAACAAAAACGGGCAGCCGATTAAAATTAAGGAAGTTACGGATTTTGGAATTGAACATCCTAAAAACTTTAAACTTCAAAAGGACAGCCATTTACAACTGCAAGAATTTCAGGGTTTTACGGATTTGTAAAAATTTATATGGTCTGGGGAAGGCACCGGGGCTTCTCCAGACCATTGGCAACTTCAAAAATCTCTAAAACCCGCAAAGAGCAGCCACTTAAATACGTAAGCAATTTAAGGTCTGTAAAAGGCTTAAAAGGCTTAAAACCTTCATAATCCTGAGAATGTTTAAACAGAAGCTTAAAGATTTTTATAAGATTTTAAGGATTTTCAAGGTTTAGATGGTCTGGGGAAGCCCCAGTGCCTTCCCCAGATCATGTAAACTTGCAAAAACCCTTAAACCCTTAACCCTAAAAACTTAACACTAAGCCCGTAGAAACCCTCAACACTAACCCTACAAACTTAACACTAAGCCCTTAGCACAAACCCCAAACACTTAACATGAAACCCTAAACACTTAATTAAGCACTAGACCCTAAACACTAAACCCTAAACACTTAAACACTACACCCTAAAAACTAAACCCTAAAAACTAAACCCTAAACAGTACACACTAAACCCTACACACTAACCCTACACACTAAACCCTGAACACTAGTAAAAATCTTAACGCCCTGAATCCAAAAAAACAAACCCGAAACCCTTAACACTACTAAACCCTAAAAACTCAGCACCAGACCCTAAACACTAACCCTAAAAACTTAACACTAAGCCCTTAGCACAAACCCCAAACACTTAACAGGAAACCCTAAACACTTAAGCACTAGACCCTAAACACTAAACCCTAAACACTTAAACACTACACCCTAAAAACTGAACCCTAAACATTACACACTAAACCCTACACACTAAACCCTGAACACTAGTAAACATCCTTAAGACCCGTAACCCAAAAAAGACACCGAAACCCTTAGCACTGAACCCTAAACACTCAGCACTAGACCCTTAACACTAAGCCTAAAAACTTAACACTAAGCCCTTAGCACGAACCCCAAACACTGAACACGAAACCCTAAACACTTAAGCACTAATCCCTTGCTAAACACTAAACCCTAAACACTTAAACACTACACCCTAAAAACTAAACCCTAAACATTACACACCAAACCCTACACACTAAACCCTGACAACTAAACCCTAAACCCTAAACAGAAGGATTTTCAAGTTGTCAATGGTCTGGGGAAGCCCCGGCTTCCCCAGATCATTTAAATTTGTAAAAACCCTTAAAACCCTTAACCCTAAAAAACCAAACCCGAAACCCTTAACACTAAACCCTAAACACTAACCCTAAAAACTTAACACTAAGCCCTTAGCACAAACCCCAAACACTTAGCACGAAACCCTAAACACTTAAGCACTTAACCCAGAAACCTTAAACATTTCAAACTAAGCCCTAAACAGTAGACACTAAACCCTGAACACTAATCCCTAAACCCTAAACAGTAAACCCCAAAGCCGGAACCTCGAGCCCTACTAAATCTAAACCTGAAACCAAAAACCCGTCGGGGTTTCAGATGCTTACTGTTTGGATTTCAGAGTTTAGGGGTTTTTTGGGGTTTTACCCGAGCCGCTTGACCCTAACCCCTAAACCCTAAACTTAACACTCAACCCTAAACACAAAACACTAAACCCTGAAACCTACACACTAAACCCTAAACACTAGACTTCCAGAAAAAATCTGGAGAACCCAGCCCCGGACTCCAGACTCCAGATTTCCAGAAAAAATCTGGAGTACCCGGGCCCCGGACTCCAGACTCCAGATTTCCAGAAAAATTCTGGAGTACCGGGGCCCCGGACTCCAGACTCCAGATTTCCAGAAAAAATCTGGAGTACCCGGGCCCCGGACTCCAGACTCCAGATTTCCAGAAAAAATCTGGAGTACCCGGGCCCGGAGTCCAGACTCCAGATTTCCAGACAAAATCTGGAGTACCGGGGCCCCGGACTCCAGACTCCAGATTTCCAGAAAAAATCTGGAGTACCCCGGGCCCCAGACTCCAGACTCCAGATTTCCAGAAAAATTCTGGAGTACCGGGGCCCCGGACTCCAGACTCCAGATTTCCAGAAAAAATCTGGAGTACCCGGGCCCCGGACTGGAGTCTGGAGTCTGGAGGTACTCCAGATTTTCTCTGGAAATCTGGAGTCCGGGGCCCGGGTACTCCAGATTTTTTCTGGAAATCTGGAGTCTGGAGTCCGGGCCCCGGTACTCCAGATTTTTTCTGGAAATCTGGAGTCCGGGGCCCAGGTACTCCAGATTTTTTCTGGAAATCTGGAGTCTGGAGTCCGGCGGTACTCCAGATTTTTTCTGGAAATCTGGAGTCTGGAGTCCCCCCCCCTCCCAAAACCCCCTTCCCGAGGCCAAATGTGTGGATCATGGGGGGGGGGGGGGGGCGAGCATTTATTTATATTTGTGTGTGTGTGTGTGTATCTGTGTCTATCTATCTGTTATATACAGAAAGACAGACATATACGTACATGTTCAAAAAATGAACCCATGTGATTTCCATGTATATTCATACCTTCCACCTCATAGAGTACATGTATCCTAGTCCTATTATCCGTACGCCGTTACATTATTTATTTCATGCTTGCCATTCAACGTGATGTGTTCTCATACTCTGTACTCAATCTCTCAATATTCTATATATAATTTACATGTGCATTATGCAAAGCAAACATATTATATAATATATAATGCATGTTTTACTTTCCGTTTTTGAATATACATTGTATGGTCGAGCAAAAGTATGTATGCAGTTTAATATGTATATATATATCATGTATTTCAAGAAGGTTTGCTTTCTGCAAGGTATGAGCCGCAACTTTGGCAGTACGACCCTGAGATCTCCCAGGACGGTGTTTTGCCCGGGGTCATATCTTCGAAGCGTGTCGTCCTGTCGGGTGTGGTTTTTGATGCTTTCCTAACCCCGAGACACATTGAAGCAATCAAAATCGTGACGTGGGTTCTACTGTTCAGAGCTACAGTACAGGGTTCAGAGATGTCTACAGGGTTTAGAATGGGTCCGGTTTAAGAAGTTCAGGAGCCCGAACAAATTTCCGCCACTCAACCAATCCCGAAGGCTGGTGACAAGCGGGCGAAAGTTCTGCGGTCTTGGACCCGGGACGCTGTAGAATTGATTTGACCCGAGACCCTCAAACTTCCCGACAAGCGTCCTGCATCAGAAGTTCTGAATACACTCAGCCTTAATTTTTGCGGAGGAGGAACGAGAGGATCGCCTTCAATACCACACTGAGAAGAAGGCGCTCGCCTGGGCGCTTCGGCACTTCCCGAAGGCCAGGGCTCTGCAGACCGAGGTTTACAGTAGGCTCTCGAGGAAACAAGGACCCTGAAGACCTCACTAAGAAGCGAGGTGAGCGTGATCAGCAGCCGGGCATTGAGTACATTTTTGGGTATTCCGATATTCACCTTCTTTCGCATAGCAGTCCTGCAATTAAGCCCTGTGATAAGCGACCCACAGCATCCCCATTTTCCTTCCGTAACGGACTGTTACAACGTGGAACATGCTAAAGTACATCGCCCTCACTCTGACTCTTGCTCAGTTTTGCTGCTGCCGATAATTGCAGCGTAAATATAGCAAGTGCAAACGCTGTGGTCAAGAAATGCCCGTGATCGCCAGCCGCATCTTGGTTGCTAGCCGCTGGTTTGCGTCGGTACGGTGCGCAAGCAAGCAACATGCTCGCTCGCAACACCGCTTGCACAATGCTGCAGTATTCGGCAGCTGGGGTTGCCTCTGCAGACTTGATTTCTGCTTTGGACCACCAGGTCGCAGAGCTAGTTGGGCGTAAGGTCTTAATTTCACGTCGCATCCTCAAGACCCGTCCCGGCTCGCGGCTGGTCCCGGTTGTGGCTGTTCGTTCTGGCGATTCACTTGGGACTTTCTGTGTTTTGTTTTTCCTCCTTTCAAGGATTCTCCCTTCTGAAGTCTCCGGCCCAGGGCTCCGGCATCACAGTGCGGAAGACGATCCGGTGCTGCGTGGACTGCCATAGCGCCTTCAAGGCGCCAACGTGCACCATCTCTTCAAAGATCCACTCATCCCACCGCTCCTTAAACGTCAATTTTTAAGCACCCCTTAAAAGGCCGCGTGATTGTTGGATTGTTGGATTGCTACCCACGAATGTCACAGCATCCTCGGGCCCCCCTAAGCAGGAAAGCATCAGTGCTTTGTTGCCTGATCTGCTTGCTAGCATGATCACTTCGTTCATTGTCAACGGCTGACTTTCTTGTACATGTGTGCACATCTTCCGAAAGCCGGTGGGGACATGAGAGGAGATAGAAGGACTTCAGGAAGGGGACATACGCTACGGACTCATAGTGTCATAGAGTCGCCTTGCAGCGTCCCAAGATGAAAAAGGCAAACCAGCTTGCACTTCTCCACTGTCACATTGTGTCTGAGGACCCTCTTTGGGACTCAAATTGAAGATGCCCTGGATGCAGAATGCGAGCCAAAATGAAGTGGAAGTAATGGGTGACACATTCACAAATGGGCACAACTAGAAAACAAATGCATGTCCAATTAGCACGAGGGAGGCATGCAATGCAAAGCGGGAGTCGCAGGAGAAGCACCTTTGAGGCCAATGGAAACTCGGGAGGCCGTCCATCGGAGATGCTGGAGGCAACTGTCATCGGCAAATTGCTGCACTTCGAAGGACATCCCTTTCCACATCGACCCCAACCACTCCGCCGTCAAAGCTCTACAGCACACTTGGCCTGGGTTCCGAGTAAAGCCCCACATGGGCATGGTCAACTGAAAGGGGGTGTTCCTTCTTATCGCTAAACCCTTAGGAGTTGAGGTAACCATGCCTTACAATGAGGGAGATAGGGAAGGGAGCTTCCTGGGAGTCTGCCGCCTTCCGATCTGAGCTCCCAGAACCCCCCACAGGTGGCCTCCAAGGCTTACGGCCGCACGCTTCGAATCTTGGACCAGGTGGGGTTCCCGAGACCCTAGACCCCGAACTCGAAGCAAGACCTTGCACCTTAAATATCCCTGAGCGTGTGGCACAAGACATCCCAAACCCCCAAACCGGAATCAATCTTTGGCAGCCACTCAAATAACATCAAAACAGATGCCTTCTCATCAAAAATGCTTCAAACATGCGGTCTTTGCAAGGGTTGGGTTCAGGATGCTTAAGGCAAGCTTCCCTTCAATTGGGAAGTTCATGTGCTTCACTAAGTATCTTCAGACCATTCTCAAAAGGCATCCCTGGACGGGTGTTGAAACGTATTGATTCCCAGAAGAATCCAGCAAAATGCTGCCCGTTGCCGCTCAACATTATGCCATGTCACTGAACGCCTCAAAAGGTTCGACGTGGGTATTGTCCCTTGAGGGGATCGTCTTGAGGAGCCGTTCAGTGGCTTGATTGTGCCCTTGGTGTATGCATGATCGGTTCGAGCAAACCGAACAGAATGCTGCTGGGTTTCAGCTGGCGAGGATGGTATCTAACGAATCGACCACCCAACCTTCGGATCGCTTCGTTCTCTGAGTACAGAATTGTAAACGCTTGCGGGAAAGGAGGAAACAAGACCTCAAAACAAAGGTGAGGGGGGGTCCCAAGAAACAATGGGGGTCCCAGCGTCCAAGCGGTCCCATGATAAATACCCAAAACGTCCCAAACAGCCAGATTCGTACGAGCGGCCAACAGGCGGGACCCCCCACGGCATCGGTTTGCAGCTCCTCCAAGCGATGGGAGGGGGTTGCCACAGGGCGGGGGGGGAGGGGGGGGTGCGTTACATAATTTGGCATGGGAAGGGTTGAGACCGGCTCCGTGTCTGCTTGTTCCAAACGCTTCTCGGCAGGAAGCCGAGGCGAATATTCCTTGACTGGAGAATGCGTAGCATGCACAGCGCGGGTTTACGAAAAGGAAAATGCGTGGCACTCAGGAGCTTCCTAGGTGACAGAAGGGTATAAGCAAGACCGAACATCCCTTCCCGCCACCGCAACCTGTCTCGCCTTACCCCCCAACATAGCCCGCAAGGTCTTTCGACACGATGTGATCCACAGTGATGTGGTCACCAAACTTTTTGGAAAAATGGTGGATGAACCTCCCTTCTTTCCGGCATGCGGGGCATGGCGGGGCTAGCACTTTAGCCTTTTGGCATACCTTACAGTACGAGTTCTTCGGGTCCCAATGCCCTTCACAGCATGCAGCGTGGACCTCCCTTATCCCGAAACCCTTGCATCCGTTGGCAGCGACAGTGGCGCAGGTTCGCCAGCATGAGTTCAGCGCGGGCAAATGCTCTTGTGGCGACTGGTGGTGAGCCCTGTCCGATGCAGAAAAGGCTCCACAGGTATGCCCCGACGGCCCCCAGAAGCCCGAATATTTCTTCAGTCTTTTGAGCGAGCTAGCAAAACAATCCTTACAATTGTTCTTGTATGTAAACAAGCTGCTTGCTGTCGCCTGGTTTTTGAAGACTGTGCTCTTGACACGTACCAGAATCGAGGGCTTCGGCCACAGGTTTTAGCCGGTGCAGTTGGCGCCTTGGCTCTTTCAGAATCTCCCGCGAGGTTATAGGGAGCTTGGTTCTGAGATTGTGCCATGATCCCCTTGCACTGACGCGGTGGGGGCGACAGCATGGGCGCATCGATGCATGGCGCCCAAGGGCCACCATGGCCTGGATCGCTCTGAAGGCTATGAAGGCAGCATTCTCGCGTGTCGGCGAACGAGAGCGTGGCGAGCGGCTTTGTGTTTGATTCAGCATGCCGGCCAAGAATCGGTGAGACCAAATGCCAGAGGCTCAGTATGCTGCAGGCGACGATTCCCACATTTACCAAAACGCATGCTTTCAGAGATAGATAGAGTGATACATTCACAATCTGAGCGGGTGTGTACGGTACTCACGGAGCATGCCGGGTGAAGGCCATTTGGCTGAAAACCGTGGCTGCAGCATCCAGCAGCTGGGAGCAGAGCCTCTCCATCCTGAAGTGGCTGCCACCGGATCAGGTGGCCAGATGCGGGAAACAACGTCAACATTAGTAGTCACCCGGAACAGTGAAATGTCACTTTTGGAGCATGAAAAAACCACCCAGTGGTCCAGAGCAGCGCTAGAGAAGCGGGGTTGGGAGGCGTAGAGGCGTAGAGTTTGCAGGGTGAAGGTAGCTATTGGCACCTGCAACATGCACCCATTCCCATTGATCCAGGCTGCAGCAAACATTCGCATTGCTTCTGGATGCACGTGGGCATCGGCGTTGTGCCAGCTGTTTGCGATGCAACCTACCCGGATATGGCCTGATGCGTACAGCTACAACAGTGCCATGAATGCTTGCAAGGAGGGAGGGAGAGAGAGGGCGAGAGAGAGAGAGGGAGAAAGAAAGAAAGAAAGAAAGAGAGAACTTCTTCCCGTAGCCATTTTGGCTCAAGCCATTTGGGCTCAAGCCATTTTGGCTCAAGAGAGCAAACCAAACAAAGAGAGACTAACGGGGGTAGCGAAGGCGTGAGGGGGCCTAACCTTCCCGCACCGGTGCCGCCATACGTCCCGACCTACCAGTCTGTGATACCTACGCGACTCCCTCGTGCGGGTTGACTTCTACCTCGAGGGTGGCCACGGAGCTCACCGGCAACCGCTGCTGCGACTTGGGCTGCCGGCGGACGAGTGGAGTGAGCACGCCCCCGCCGACGGCATGAACACTGGTGGAGAAGGGCGGGATCGTCCTGCATCCGCGGGGCACAAGCGCAAAGGAGGGGGGGCCATCAACCTGGACGACGACCTCCCGGGGGCCATCTCGCAGACCGAGACAGAGGTGTTCCCCACCCCCCCGGATCTTCCCGTCAACAGCCTCAGCATCGCGGACGTTAAGACGGCCTTGCGAGTGGAGGTCCAGGGTTTCTTGGGCGAACTTCGTGGAGTCATGGGGGGCATGGAGAAGCGCCTCACAGACAGCATGGAGACCAAGATGGCCGCGGTGCATACCCGACTAGACGATGTACAAGAACAGGCCAAAAAGCAAGGGGATGCCCTTGCAAGTCTGGAGGCCAGGGTGCTTCAACTCGAAAATGGGGGGGGTTTCTTCGACGACGGCTACCGGCACGGCAAGTACCTCGGGGTCCAACACGCGAAGACGCGCCATCGTCCTGGGGGGCTACGACCGAGACACTCCTCGTGAAACCCTACTGGCGGAGCTCTCCTCGCAGGTGGCCAAACTACAGCTTGATTTCGATCCGTCGACTATGTTCGCCACGGGGATAAGGAGGGGCACTGCCATCGTGCCCATGCATCCAAAAGAGGGGGAGAACGAGAAGGACACCAGTGAGCGCTTTGCAAAAGTCCTGAAGCAGATTCGTGAGGCGGACATTGAAGTGGGTGTCAGAGAGGATGGGAAACCACGACTCCTTTGGGCGGCCTGGAGCAAGACTCAGGAGCAACGACAGCGTTCGGCCTATGCGGGAAAGGTGAAGCGGCTCTTGCTGACCTTGGACAAGGAGGCCCAGGTGGAGTGTGAGTGGTCGTCGGGGACAGTGTGGTTGGGAGGAACGAGGGTGGCTTCGGCTACGACAGCGGGGCCCTTGGCGAAAGAGACGCACACCACAAAGTTCGGCTGGCTGGACGTTCAGAAGATCGCGGAGAAGCTAGGCAAGGAGAGGAAGGAGATCGAGGACCCGTGGGGGGACCTCGAGGCCCAGCTTCGCTGAAAAGTTCCGCTCGAGTTTCACCACCATCTCAGAACATGGAACGTGGGGGGCTTGGACGCTGAAGGCGACCTCGTTGACTGCCTCATGGCCACGTCTGAGGGGGACCAGCTGGAATTCATTCTTTTGCAAGAAATACCGCAACCGAAAGGGGGAACTCCCTCTACTGCAAGTATGACTGCGAGCACAAAGGGGCCGCGACCTTTGGACAAGAACGTCCCTGGCTTGGGGGAGGAGCACTGTCTAGCACAAACTCTGCAAAACCACTTCCTCATCCAAGCTTGGACGCCGGCTGACTGGAGAAGCACTGGTGTACTACTTCGCCAACGAGACATGTATGGATCGCACACCATTCAAGCCCATGGGGGGAGTCTGGGTCTCACGTGGGCCAAAGTCCGACATGCGTCACTTGGGGTGGTGGGGTTAGTCTCCTGCCACCTGCCGCATTGGGCTACTACACAACAAGCTGCGGAACTGCTGCGCAACTGGAAGGTGGCCATGAATCCGCTGCATGGGCTTCATCGCCTCATCTGCGGGGGGGACTTCAACGAGACCTTGGTGATGGTGGACGGCGATGGCATCTTCAGGGGGGCCACCGCGAGGGGCGAGCTCGTGGCTTCGTTCCTCCAAGAACTAGGCCTCAGATCAGCGGAGACAACATGGACCGAGCCGACCTACCATCCATATAACCGTGCTATGCAATCCCGGCGCCTAGACTACATCTTCGTGAAGGGGATCAACGTGGCGGCTGCTGGGGTGGCAATCGGCTCAAGACACGAGATTTCTTCAGACCACGACGCGCTGGAGCTTCAGGTGGTCCAACTGCCGCAACATGCTGACCTCAGGCCGCACAAACTTCGCAAGGGGGTGCCAGTGACGCCTGACAAAGCCAAAGAAGTGCTCCGGAAGCGACAACCTCCTCCTGCGCGGGAAGGTTTTCTCCTCAGCGCCGTGGCGGAGCTCTCGCAGCATCTCATTGTGCCCAAGAGTTCCAAACGATTTCAGGAGAGTCAACACCTGGTGCGTTTGCGACAAGCAGCGCAACAAGCGCGCGGAGGGGCTGCCAGAGCGCTCTGGAAAGAGGTCCACTCTGTCAGAAAAAGCGAGAAGCGGAAGTGGCTTAAGCATCTCACCTTCTGGGCGACCAGAGGAGACTGGGGGGCTTGGAAGAAGCTCTTTGGCACGGGCCCTCGCAGACTTTGGGAGCCCGCCCTGGTTCAACGCTACGAGAACTGGCAGCAAAGCATGACCGAGTACATGGAAGGCATTTTCTTTCGGGACTCGCACGCAGAGAATGAGGAAGCGAGAGATGCAACACGCCTTCAGCTTGCGATGCTCCCGGGGGAGTTCCACGCTTTCTCCATGGAAGAGATCCACAGTGTCATGGCAAAATGGAAATCGGGGCGAGCAGCGGGACCGGATGGCATCACCTACGAGGCACTACGAATCATCCTGAAGGACGACACCTGGGGGGCCTTTGTGTTGGAGGAGCTCAATGATTTCCTCAAGCTGGGGTTCACCACATCGGATCTCTACGGCACCTCCACCTTCATGCTGGCCAAGAAGAGGGAGCCAGGCGAGTGGGGCGATTTGAGGCCCATCACGCTTTCCTCGGCTTTGCTGAAGCTCTTGAGCCAGCTCACACTGAAAAGGGTGACCCACCTGTTGGGGACCGCTAACGACCTACAATGGGCGGCGCCGTCGAAACAGCCCCTGGAGCTCGCCCTGGGACTGGGGCGCATGCTTCGACTCTGTAGAGAATGGAAGCAGGAGGCCTTTCTCGTGAAGATTGACGTCAGAAAGGCTTTCGACAGCGTCAAGCTTCCTCGGCTTTTGCGGCTGATAAGACGCAAGCTCGTGGGGCGACCCAAGGAGGGGCGCTTGCTCACTGAGATGGTCTGCCACTTGGGGATCAATATAGAGTTCCTGGACCAACGCATCCCGATTCGGCAAAGCAATGGCGTCAAGCAGGGGGCCCCCGAGTCCCCAGTGCTCTTCGCGGCGCTCATTGCAGAGCTTGCGGATGAGGTGGCCACTGAATTGGGCATGGCGTTGCCACATGAAGAGCCAGGGTGGGAAATGCCCTTCAACCTGGCGGCCTTCGCGGATGACATGTACCTCTGGCATTTTTGCCTTCGTCGACTACAAGAGCTGCTGACCATGGTAGAGAACAAGGCGGCGGAGAACGGTCTCCAATTCCAGGGGGACAAAACCTCGGTCCTGACCAGCGTGGAAGATGATGCCCGTACCCTCACCATTGGGGGCAAACAGGTCAAGTTCCTGCCGCCGGGGTCCCTCGTTCGAGTTCTCGGCACACAACAAGGCTTCAAACGGGGGGCCGCGGATGTTGCTGCAGAGGTCAATGCCAAGATGCGGCAAGTCTTTTGGGCCCACAAGGCAGTGTTTGCAGGCAGGATGCCCCTCACCTGCAAATGGGAAGCCTTTCATGCGGTGGTCCGAGGGTCTGGCCTGTGGCAAGCGGCGGCATTGCCGCCGTGTCGCAACCTTTTGGCGGCCCTTAACACGCAGCAACTGCGCTTTGTCCGGGTGATGGCCGGGTTGCGGCGAAAGCAGGGGGAGCCTTTCGTCGACTATGAGATGCGCAGCCTCAGGGTGTCGCGCGCTCGGCTACACCTACATGGACAGGAACGCTACTCCACGTACGTCCTTCGCCAAGCGTGGAGGTTGTTCGGCCATATCGCCAGACAAAATAGCAGGGCCAAACAACTGCTCAGATGGAGGGGGCCAGTCTGGTGGAAAGCGGAGCAATGCAAACGAGGGGGCCATCGTCACCCGGGAAGATACAATGCTGGGATGGAGATCCAGAATGACTTCAACACCTTCCTGGGGGTCGATGACTGGATGGAAGTTGCTCAAGATCGTCAAAGATGGAGAAGCCTTGAAGTTCCCTGGGTCAAGTCCCAGGACCTACCATGGTGCACGCACGCGCAAGCATCTCTCGAAGCCGAATCTGGTGAACAAGACGATGTACGTCTAGCAGCGCAGCTACGAATACAGAACCTCATGCCTAACAGAAAGAAGCGCAAAAGAAAGAAGACGGGGGCCAAAGCCACCAAACGACGAGTGAAGCAGCGGGCCACCGCTGCACAGCCGTCTCAGCTCATGCTGTCAAATGGGGGCCGCTGAGACAAGCAAGGGAGGGCCCTTAGCTCTCCGGTGCAAAGCAGAGGGACCTCCGTAGGAGACCCCCCACCCCCTTTTTCAAGGTTGCGGCAGCGATCAGCGAATGACGACTCATGAAGAGCCTGAAAGCCATGGTCGTTGAAAAGATCTTCCCGTTTTTGGTTGTCCCGAGCACCCTAGCAGTCTTGTCGTTTTAGCCCTTGAGTGCCGTCATGCAGAGAACGTGATGTCGACACAATGGGGGACCAGCACGCCGCCTACCCCGCAGCCGTCTCAGCCCAGCTCTTGCTCCTGCCCCTGACGTACCTCCACAACCTCAGCCACAGCGCCGTCATGGGGGCGCTCCCGACGTGGCTGCTGCTGACCTTGGTCGCGACAGTGAAGGGGGGCCAGTGGAGCATTTGGAACTGGGACGACGAGTGGAGCGATGCAACGACTCTGGGGGGGCCACATGACCGCCAACGACAAGGACACCAACAGGAGAGCTGGAGGGACGAGGAAGAAGCACTTCATGAAGGTCTTCCGCTTCGTGAACGACGAGGGGGCCAACAGACGAGTGCTGAACCGACGCAAGCAGTTCCTGCTGAAGCTGACAGGGACTACGAGGCTGACCCGGGGGGTATGCCCCCCCCGGGAGGTCCTCAGCGACTACGACACGATCCTGCACTACCTCAACCACGGCGCCTACCTGACCAAGAGGGGGGACAAACGTTACTACCACACGATCCTGCACTACCTCAACCACGGCGCCTACCTGACCAAGAAGGGGGACAAACGGTTCAGGAGGGGGAGTATGTGGCTGAGATGGACGAGACACAACCTGCACGAGCGCCGCGAGAGCAAGCAGAAGCTCGTGAAGGAGAGGACGACTGGGAAGACTGGGGCCAATGGTGGGAACAGCTACGTGGTGTAGGTCGTGAACAACCGCAGCGAGGGCGACAACATGCTCGTCGACAACCTGACCGAGACCCCGCCACAAACACGGAGCCGCAAGAAAGTCAGAGTCGGACAGCCGACTACCCCAACACGGCTGAGTGGAACTGGCGAGAGTGGGGAGCACGCGACCGTCCTCAACATGAAGAAGATGGCCAGTGGGCTTCGAGACCGTGGAGGGCAACGAGGTGGAGATGGTGGGCGTACCGAGCAGGAGACGCCTGGTTCGAAGTTCAGCTGAGGGACTGGAGAGAGGAGCGTCGGGAACGGGAAGAACAACAACAAGGATGGGCGCCCCACACGGAGGGCGACGCCGATACTAACGACCAACCCTACAACCCGGAGCTTCACGCGTGGAACCCAGGGCCAGGGGGCCCTCAACTACAACATGATGGAGGGGGCCATTCTGAACATCGAGAAGAAGCTGGAGCCTATGACCCGACCTTGCACGCCTGGAACCCGGGGCAGAGGCAGGCAGAGGACAACGCCGACAACCAGGTCAACACACAACACCAGGATCCGGGCGCGCAAGCCTGGAATCCTGGACAAGCACAAGGGGGAACCGAAGAGCACGAGCAAAATGACGACAATGGGGTCCAGTACGTGGAGACGGACGACACTGACGCCGAGACCAAGAGACGAGAATGGGAGGCATACCTGGCACAGAGGGGGCAGCAGCCCTCAGAAGGGGGGCCGCCGCAAGAGATGCCGCCGTGGTTTGGGGTGGCAAAACAGGAGGTGGAGGCCGCGCCGCAGGACATTAACCCGCCGGGATATCCGCCCACAGCACGACGACGAGTTCGCTACATGACGCAGGAGGCCATGGAAGCACTACGAGCCCGACCCTACAGACTACGCTGGCAAAATGAGAGACGCCGCTACACAGGGAGCCTCGGCACTGAGAAGACAAAGGGGGTACGCCTGGGCGCAAACCCCGGGACGGTGGATAGCAGAAACAACCCTGCCCTACATGGCCAAGCACCTGGTTCTGGCTCGTCTTCGTCGTCTACCGCGGGCACCCAACCACAATGGCATGGGTGGTCGTCATGGAGTTCCTGGACAACGGGGGGGCGATCTGGATCCAAACATAGTGGAGGACAAGGGCCAGTGCGACAGGAGCGCAAGGCCCGACAGTGGGCCGACTGGCAGCAGTGGGAGCAAGCGTGGCACAGCGAATGGAGCAAGCAAGTGCGACACAGTGGAGGGCTCCCAGCCGAGGGGGCAGCAGAAGAGTGGGCCAGTCTTCTCAATCGCCACCGACATCGTCCTACACCCCCACATGGGGAGACAGAGGAAGCCATGGATGGTGGAGAGGCCAATGTGCCACGGGGGACCGACCACGAAGCCCAACCTAGCGGACACACACTCCAAGCTGGCGAACCAGACGAAACTCCGGGGTCACAGACACAGGAACAATGCCATGAACCGGAGGGGCAACCCGACCTGGTGGAGGAGGCTGAGGACATCATCGACACCCTCCTGGACAACCTGCGCCAGCAAACCGGGGGGGAACACGATGAAGAGCAAGACCATGCGACCCTCCTCCAGCACACGATGGACCCTGAGCACGGCGACGTCAAGGACAACGAGGGGGAAGGCAAGCTCTACGTGCTCCACAACGTCGCCGACGACCCGCAGCAAGGAGACGAGGTGGCCTGGGTCCAAGGAAGAAAGAGAAAGAGGAGCGACAGGGACCCGGAGAACCACACGGACCATGGCGACGGCAAGAACGAGGAGGAGACAGAGGACGCGCGTGAAGAATGTAGGGGGCCGCCCGCCAATGCGGCCACGAACATGGACAAGGAGGGGGCCGACGTTGACCTGGAGGAGCAAAGGAGAGTCGAAAACGAGACAGAAGAAGAACGAGCGCTACAAGAGGAGTTCGAACAAGACCGAGCACTACACGAAGAATGGGTCCAGAAAACGATCGACGACTACTTCGCGGACGTGGAGGAGGAGCAGCCGGGGCCGAGCCAACTAAGACCAGGACGAAGACAAGAAGAGGGGGTCAAGCGTCATGTTGAAGCCGTTACTGCGGCCTTTGGCAGATGGTCGCAAGGCACCGCGGCAGGGGGGGGCCTCGAAATTGAGGGGGACAGCATCCGGGAGGTCCTGACCCACATCCTCAACCTGCACCCGCTGATGGCAGAGGATGGGGAGGCGCCTACGCCGCACCTCACCCTCCTATACCAGATCCTGGCGACATGGGCAAGGTCCAAGACGGAGCTAGTCCAGCAAGACACCGAGACCGTGGTGCGCATCTGGCAGGGGTACCTCGAGGGGCTCCGGGCCGCCATGGGGTCGAGCCTGGCAGAGACAGCAGCACCAGCTGGCAGACGAACGGACGAGGGAGGCCAACTACGCATGTTCAACCTGACGGAGGAGGAGGACAAGCCCGAGCCGGAGAACCGACACGAGCTGGAGGACCAGGACAAGGGGCATGACGAGAACGCTGAGCAGAAGAACGACGAGGACATGGATGAGAATGAGAACCACACCACGGACGAGGAGGTCCTGGAGCTGACAGAAGGGGGACCACAACAGGAGCCGACTGAACAACTTGAGAGACACAGTATATGGACGGCGCCACCAGGGGGACCACCACAACCGACAAGACCCCGCAGGGGGGCCAGGCCGTGGCCGAACTGCCTCCTACGACCGGGACACCGCCCGCTCAAGCGAGGGGAGACCTTTAACTACGGCAACTTCCTCCAGGAGGTGACGGAATGGAGACGGCTGGCTGCGCTCCGTGAGGGGCAAAAGGCCACCTTGGGGACTACACCGACCTCGACCTCGATGAGCGCCGTGTCGCCGTCGTCTCGCCATGTGGAGCCGAAAGACCCACAACTGGGGGACCTTCCACAAGGGGGCCGCGAGGGACAGGGTGACACAACGATGGCTACTTCGACCTCTACTCCGGCAAGTTCAACGTCGCCGAAGGACCCACAACTGGAGGGCCTTCCGCAAGGGGGCCAGGAGGGGCTGTACGACACAACGCTGGCTACTTCGACCTCTACTCCGGCAAGCTCAACGTCGCCCTTGGGGCTGGGGGCTTCGTGGAACCTTCCGACGGAGGGCCTCTGTCAGGGGGTCCCTGACACACAGTTGGATGAGCCACACATTGACGATGAAGACCAAGACGATGCTTCCCAGGGAGGGCAACTTGAGTGAGGGGGACCCGTGTAGTGCCTTGTCTTTCTGTAAGAGGCAACGAAACGCTTCAAACCGCCTTTTGGGGGCCGTCAACGCACGGTGCCCGAAACTTTCACCTCGGACAGAGCAGCGGGCCAGCGTGGCCGGGGTCCTCTTCGGGGGGCCTCTTCGCTGGGCAGAAGAAGAGAAGAAGTCCCAAATACCGGGCGACACCCGGGGGGCTCGCCCCCATGCCCCAAGAAAGAAACCAAAAATCAAATAATAAATTAACAAAGAAAGAAGAAGACGCAACTGAGAGGTGCAACGCGGCAACGCGAGGCGAGACCGGAGAGAGTTTGACTGAACAACATACATGTCATCTTTTCTTGACGGCAAACTATGCCGCAGGAACACTGGATCACGGCAGCGCGGCTTCTGAGAATACAAGAGACGATTTCAATGGATGTGGTAGGCTGTACCGCCGCGATCACTGCAGCTGCACAATCTACACGATGGCGTTGCGCTGCATCACTGGTTCACACCATGGCCGTGTCGTCGGAGTTGTCTGAAGAGTTGTCCGAGCGTGGGCTGCGCAGCTTGTCTGCTTTGCTAAGCTCTTATGACAGAGGGAGCTGTTGGCAGAAGGCCAGCATGCTCTGGGAGAGACGACGTGGGACGCTGGACACGATTGCATGGAGTACAGTCATCAGTGGTTGCAGCAGGGCATCAGAATGGGAGTTGGCCATGAAGCGGTTGCTTATGATGCCATTGGTGGCGCTTGTGCCTGACCTGATCTCATTTGCCACAACAATGAATGCGTGCAAGAAGAGCTGGCAGCAGAGCCTCGCCTTGCTGGACTGCGTGGACCAGACTATGATGCCAACAAAGAATGTTTATCACTTGCAGATGAGCGGACTTGGAGAGGGCATGCAGTGGTCAAAGGTCTTCTTGCTCATGAGCAGGCGAGTTACAGCAGTGGCCACTACTGTTGGTCAGCCGAGCTTTCGCTTCAGCTAGTCATGCTTCAGCATTCTGTAACGCCAGGTCATCTAGAATTCAAATTAAACAAACAACGGCGATTTCTCCTTCCAGTATATCCAATATGTTCATGAGCAGGATGGCAGCACGACGTTTGCCTGCGGCAGAGGATTGCCGCAACGCTGCTATTGGTGCCTGTCATGCGCAATGGTCCAAGGCAGAAACTGACGGAGAGGTATGCTTACATTTTTGCTGCAATAGGAGTGTAGATCGGGATCAAAGCAATCAGAGTGCACCTCAACAGAAGGGGCTATCCTGAGGCACTTCAGGTCCTTGCAGAGATTCCGATCGCTAAGCTCAAGCTAGACCTGATCGGGGCCAACTCTGCAATTTCATCGGTCGAGAAATGGCATCTGGCAGTGCAACTCTTCATTCGACAGTTGCAGTCAGGCTTGGTCCCTGAGCCCTTTCAGAAGTGCGGAGCAGGTGTTCGGAGTTGTGTTTGATGTTGTTTCGTAGGTGCACTTATTTTGTGGAGCTGTGGAGCGGTTGTAACTGATGTAACGCCTTCTCTGCACTGCACAGTGAGCTGAGCAGTACGTTTTTTGCGTGTTGCAGCGTTGTGTGTTTGAGGATTCCGTGAGCTTTGCCTCAGTGGCAATGGCGCTCACTGCCTGGGAGACGGCTTGCGAACTCCTGCATCAGATGCGCCTGAGGCGGGTGTTCGTGACTGAGATCGTTCAGAATTTGGTAATGTCTACATTTTCTACCTGCCAAGGGTCCAGTTGGATTCAGGCACTGAAGTTGTTCGAGCAGAGCCCTGCCACATCACTGCCTCCTGACGTCCTTGGTTTTAACGCCGCTATTAGCGCGTGCGGAACAGAGTGGTGCCTCCCCTTCCATCTTTTACGTGCTATGCAAGACCTTCAGACGAGGTCACCGAGGTCGAGGGTGGCACCGAGCTTGGTGTCTGTGAGTGCCACCGTTGCTGCTTGCGAAAAATCTGCCCAGTGGGCCGCAGCTTTGGACTTGCTTGGCATTCTGACCTCTTGCCGGCTCCGAAACGCAAGCGATCCGAATGGCTCGGGCCGGGGTCTGTCGAGCGCGAGTTGCACAATCCCCTTTAACGCGGCCATCTCCGCCTGTGAGAAGCGCGCTCTTTGGCGACGTGGGCTTCTGCTGTTGCGGCCAATGTGTCGGGAGAACCCTGTTCCCAACGAGATCACCTTCAATGCTCTAATTGGAGCATGCGATCGAAGCATTCGAGAAACAGCGGAGATATAGCTCGAAGCTTTCAGCGCTTTGCTGTTTACAGGCCTGCTGGGATCCCCAGAAATCCCCGGTCAGATGCCTTTACTACCCACTGCATTGGTTGTGGGCATGCGAGATTGGATGGGTTATCACGTTCAGTTGTTGTTTCTTCACCAGTTTTTGCTTTTGGGAGCAGAAGCTTCTCTGCTCATAGCACCCGACCGAGGAGCCGTAAACATGATCATGTTGCCATAAGGTTTTTTTAGATGATACCACACGGTACCCCAAGATGGGGATTCTATTTTCTGAGGAATAAAATCGAAAAGTTTAGGTGGGATCATGGGAGGCATGATGAAAAGGTAAGAAAAAGGCTTCAATAAACTTAGCGTGCATGATGAAAGACTAGCGAGGGCCGGGGTAAGATCTTGGGCATCCGGTCAAGTTAAAAGTTAGGTTAAAGGGGATCGGAGGAGGGGTCCAATGTCATTCTAGATAATCTTTTAAAGATGATATGTGCTGATAACATGCTAACATGCAAGGGCAATTCTTATCGATTTCAAGTTCTTGCTCCCCCCCAACACCAAAGTCAGCGTAGCACAATGCTGAGCCCGCTGAGCCCGAACCCAAGTCAGCCTAATCAGATAGGACTCTCGTTATAGGGCCAACCTGGGCGTTGGTTGTCAGGGCGAGCTGGGCATTTGGCTGCAAGGCTAGATGCCCAAAACATTCCGCGCAATCATGGGCGGGCAGCCCAGGCGATCTGGGCTGAATGATGAGCGTTTCTGGTCTTCGAAGACGCTGTGACTTTTTGAGGAGTTTAGGTTTGAGGTTGCTTCAGCCGTCGAGATTTTGCAATGAAAGGCCGGTTGAGTGGTGGATTATGGACCATCTATGATTTTAGTTTGCGGCAGACGCGGCATGCTTTGGATGTCCGGCGCCCCCGCTTGCCCAGTGTTCAATCAAGTCCCCAGCGAAGCCGAACAATGCTCAAGAACCCTGATAGCTCGAGCATGAACCGACACCCTGAATGCCTCACGCGAGGCTATGTTCTCCCGTCTCGGGCGTCATGCCTGAAACCCCAAGTCCGACGAAAACCGCCACAACACCCGATGCCTTACTGTAAGCTGCGGGCACAAGCTACACACAGACACACAGACACACAGACATGCAGAGTCACACAGACACACGGACACACAGTCACACAAGACGCGTAAGCGGAAAGTGCGGAATCCGGAGCTGAATTGAAAAAACGCAAACAGCACCCGAAACTGCTCGAAACCTCAGGTCACCCTCAAAAGCCTCTTGGAAAAGCCTTCTCTCAACTCCCGCGAGGCCGATGTCAGCGCCAGAAGCTGGGGATCTGCACTGGAGGCTTGGGACATGGGTTTGGCTTTGGCCTAAAATTACTTAAACCCCTCCGCTTCCCAAAGCAGCTTCGAAGCTGCCCTTAGTGAGCTTTGGGTTGTTTAATGCGGCGGCCGCAGCCTCAACCCTCAAATCTGGCGCACGCGGTGCCGTAGAGAGCAATGAAATCCGATTTCGAGGCCCAAGAACCACTCCCCCCCCCCCGACTCACCCGCATTTTGCACTCTGCAACATGTACACTGGGGGTAGAGGGCAGAGGGGAGGTTTAGTGGGGGGACCGCTAACGCTGCGAACTACTTGCAACTACTTGATACGACTTTTCATGTTCCTGCAGCACCGGGCTCTGGGCAAGTCAGGCCGTAGCAGTTAGATTTGTAAGAATGCTGCGCGTCGTCCAGATGTCAGGGGAGGAAGTGGCGACGGTGCCTCTCGAGGAGCTAAGCACCGTGAAGGCCCTGAAACAGCTCTTGAACCAGCAACATGGTAAGCCCCCGCGATTCCGGCAGATGCTGCTTCTGCATGGGACGGAAACCATACTGGATCATGCCGAGCTCGAGGCCCCCATGGTTCTCCAATGTTCTCCAGCTACTTGTGCTGCCTTTCAAAAGTTCTTCGCAAGCCGAAGTGGAAGAGCTTGCCTTCCTCGCCAGCGGTGGATCCCCGGCGCAGGGTCGATTTACACCAATTTAATTTAAACCCAATCCCTACAACAACTATCCGTTGGCTTCTTGAGCCGCTTAGAGTTCAGCCATAGGTTCGTAGCTTTGTGCCGCAGCTTTCCAGGTCGAGTCCATTCTGCTGCGGCCACAGGACCTGGAGTTGTGGGAGTAGGGTCGCGAGCCAGGACCCCTCCACCCAAACCCCACACACCTTGAAGCCGCCCAAAAATGCCCTGCCCTACAGGATCCAGACTTGGAGTGCTCGTTTGCGGAAACTCCTCTTCACGCGGCATGTTTCAATGGACGACTCGAAGTCGCAGCTGGAGGCGCGTGCAAACGTCCACAAGACCACAAGCTGGCACGTACCTCCACAGCCTCCATTATGGGTCGCATCAAGCCGTGGCCACCCGGATCTTGTGCAGCTCTTGTTGGAGGCTGGCAGGGCTGCCCAGTGCAGGCGTTTGCCTGGGTTAGGGGGGCTGCGTGTCGAAGTATCCCTGGAGTATGTGAGCCCAGAGCATCCGGCAAGCGCTCATCCAGCCGAGATCCTGCAGACTGTCTTTGGAGCATCTACCCGCACGTGAAAATGCATAGCTTCAGGGTCGAAATGCTTGAAGTGTCATGCGGGGGTTAGGGGCTTGCTGGTCCTTGCCCTGAACTTAGAGATGGCGATAGCTCAGTCCAATCCTTTTGAGGGCGTGAGGGGGGGCCTTGAAGTTGCCTCTCTTCGGGCTTCCTGCATTTTGTACCTTTGTACTCCTGTAAAAAGCTGCTCATGTGCTGTTGGAGGCCGGCGCTGACAAGGACGTGGCCAACCACAAAGGCATCACGGTTCTGATGTGGGCATCTGCGAGGGGCGACTTGGAGATAGTAAGGCTGCTGCTGGAGGCTGGTGCTGACACGGACCTGGCCAACCACAAAGGCGCCACGGCTCTGATCATGGCATCTGCGGGCGGCCACCTCGAGACAGTTCGTTTGCTGCTGGCGGCCGGTGCTGACAAGGACCTGGCCACCAACAGGGGCTTCACAGCGAGACAGTTCGTTTGCTGCTGGTGGCCGGCGCTGACACGGACCTGGCCGACAACAACGGGAAAACAGCTCTGGTGCTTGCTTATCATCCGTGGAGCTATCAAGGGTCACCTCGTAAGCTTCTGGAGGCCAGCACTGACTATGACCTGTTCCCCGACGATGACGTCGAACGTTGGTGTATTGACGACGACCTGGACATAGTAAGACTGCTGCTGGAGGCCGGTGCGGACCTGGACGACGAGCGCAGGACGGAATTGAGGCGGGCCGCCCAGGACAGCCTCCATGATGAACTCGTCGCCCTGCTGGATGAGAGCGCATCCGCACGGAAGAGGCAAAAATCTGCGTGTTGGGATTTCGGGACCTGGGCTGAAGTTTATGTTCGGGATCGGACTCAACCATCTTTAATCCTGACGAATAACTTAGCAAAGAGGGATGGTTCGGGGAGTTGTGAGTTGTGGGGGGCTTGAAGCTGCGGCACTTTGATTTGATCTCCATCTGTTGACCCCCCGAACCGCGTTTTTTGTGTTTGTCCTTCTCACATGGCATCCAAAGATCCCCCGACACCACGCAAGGGCCTACGGATTCTAGGGCAGTCGTGGCGAGGTCGTGAGATGCCTCCACCGGCCCTCCTTCTCAGGCCAGGTTGAGGGTTCCGGGTTTAAGTGTTGAACTACACCAGTGGCACTACAACTACCCTCCCGGCCTGTCGCATGTGTCGCTTGCTGCAGCAGCTGTGTCGGGAGGCTCCTGTTCCCAGCGAGATCACCTTCAATGCCTGCTCGAATTGGGGCATGCGATCGAAGCATGCGAGAAAACGCTCGAAGCTTTCATAACTTTAACGGCTTTGCTATTTACAGGCTTGTGGGCCCCGGGGATCCCCAGTCAGATGCACCAAGCTTCCATTGGTACGGTTCTGGTGGGGGGGGGGGGAAGGTGATAGAAGCCTCAGCCACGGCTTTGCTCTGCAGCATCGCCCTTGGAGAGGCGAATTCCATGTTAGCATGACTTGTAACTCGTGTTGGCGATGGGCGGAGAAGAACGAAGGACGGAAGCAATGAAGCAAAACATGAAACAGTGCATTACAAACAAGAACATAGTGAATGTAGGAGACTGTCGAGTTCAGCATCTTTGGGGACCGAGATTCGTTGAGACGTGGCATTTCAAAACCTCGCTGCGCCATCTGCAGTGTCTCGGCCGGGATCTTGCAGGACCTGCATGCAAGGTGATCTGTATAACTCATTTAGTCATCCAAGATGGAGTTTAGATTAGGATTTCCGGTTTGATCTGAACGTAGAGAGTAAAGATCTGTGCAAGGACACATTCTCCATGTGATATTCGACGCCATGCACAATGGCGGAATCGGGATTGCCGCGCCCCTGGTCTTTTCGATGCGTTGACGCTTCGCTCGTCTTTCTGTCAAGGGATTCAGGCACGTTCACAGTGTGAGGGACTTCAGGACACCTGCATCCTCATATGCCGTCGTGCAAATCTCCAGGAGTGATGACAAGGCGGACTACCTGCTAGTGCTGGTTCTGGCACCTGGGCAGAGTATGATGTGTTGATTCAGTTCCAGCAGTAAGCCAGCCGAAAAGAGCATTCAACTAGACGGGAAGCAAGTTTGTTCCTTGGTTGACAATAAGGCATCGCACCAAGCTTTGGAGGAAGGCGCGAAGAAGCAACAAGCGGGAGACCAAACTGTCAAATTCAGTCAACAGTCTGGCAGTTTGCAGAGTTTGCAGGTGTAGTGCGGCGGCTGGCAAGGCACGTGCGCATTCATCTAGACAAAGCCACTGCATGGAGAGCAGCCGCAACATGCGTTTGCAGGCGTATCTTGCATCGCGGCTTGTATGCCCATGTCATCGAGATCGTTCGGCATCTCATCTGATTTGGAAGAAATTTGCAAGTCGCTGAACCGCTGAACGCCTGGGTCACTTGCAGTCTGCAGCAGCTGGTCTACTTCCGCCGGCTCCTCCCTGCGGCTACGCCCCGCCTGGCACCGGGACGGGGATCAGCATCCTTTGCCTGCAAAGATTCTTGGTTTGCAAGTTGGCATAGATTTCTGCCTGAAGGCTGGAAGTAGTTCGATTTATCCAGTCTGCGTGAGTGCAAGCTTGCACGAGCATGTATGTCATGGTTCGGTTGTGCTGAGGACAGGGCTACGTAGTCGACCCGCGCGAAGCAGCAAGAGAGGTCGCCGTGCTGCTTGAGCAGGAGAAGCTGGCGTCAAGGCGTTCTGTTCCTTCAATCGATAATTCGCCGCTATGCAAGGGGCTTATGTCGCTTGTCTGATGAGGCGAACAACTGCAGGGCTGTATCGGATTGTATCGGCAAAGAGCCTAGATAAGTCCATTAGATCAAGTTGCCGTCGCTGCTGCTGCTTGCTACAGCATGGAAGCTTCAGAGACCGCAGCCGTTATTGGTCTTGCTTGGCAAGGTGAGCGGGGCTGCATGCATTTTGCCACAGGTTGGAACCGGAGGGATCAGCGGATCTTTCACCCTTGCGCCCAGACAATACAGCATTCAAGCCACGGGCTGAGCTTTGACGTAGACCAGGTCCTAGGTAATGTGCCACGGCCACACGTGTTCCGTGATATGCCGTGAACTTGGCTTTCCCTGTGCTTCCCGCCTCGAAATGGCACTGCCCTCCCCCTTCCCCCCCTATGCTAAACTGATTTCGACATGCTGGTCGACAAAGAGACTCCCAGGACACATCAGCTCCCACCACTCCGGAACCTGCGAGTTGCCTGAAGCTCAGGGCCAAGCAAGGTAGACATGAGCATTGGCATGCGGCATGTGCATAGATGCAGCTATTTGGTGTCGTCGATACTCGTGGACGTCCAACCTCAGTCTAGGTGGAGCACTTTGGCAGAATATCTTTGTTCACGCAGGACTCCAGGAACGGCGTATGGCCAGCGACGTTGAGGTGCAGATACTGCGGAAATTCGTGCACGGAGAAGGGAGCCACGTAGTGCCACCAACCGTTTCGGGCAGCACACCTGCAAAGCTTTCGGACTCACGCTCGACTATTGTCACATTTTTGACAAGGCCGGATGCCGACCCTTCCTTGCGCCCCTGGCGTTTGCTGCAACACATGGCTCCTGGCTTACTGTGGAAAGCAACGGATTACAAGAGCACGTGAACACAATCAGGTGATCCTCGCAGGTAGTGAGAACTTGCATACAGAAGCCCGAAACTGAGGCTATCATCCTGGCTTTGTGGTCGACGCGCAAGCAGCCACCTGTCTGATGGTGGAGATGGGAATGGGCATGTATGTCATCAAGAGATAGAGCGGGGGTGATCGCTGCCAATGTGAGCAAAGTGCTTAGACATTGGTTGTTCTTCCCTGTATCGTGTAAGAGCATTGTGTAACGTTCAGAGTCAATGAGCTGCAACATGTCTACATGTATGGTTGCCATGTCAATGTGTTTGTGTGCTCCACGCCATTCCTAGCTACAGAAACTTTCGGCACGGGTACGTCCATTGATGGTGCGTCAGATCTGCTGGGAGAAGCTTTCAGCCGCAAACTCGATCTTGACTATTGGGGGCGAATATTGTAAGGAGTCGTTTCACATCGCAGGCATGAAAGTAGGCACGGTCAAGGTGAGAAATTGAACGGCATCGATATCCATGACCGCGAGCGGCAAGCCTCGAAATTCAGAGCACTGAATGTTGTGTCTTCGGACTCTCAGTTTTTGCACCTACGGCGCTTAACATCAAAAGTGTTGTTGAGATGGAAGATGACTATCGGGACACTCATGCTGCCACTCAAGACTTGATGCTTGCAAAAACGTATCACAAGGCTATTGTGTGAAATCGCCTGGTCATTCATGTAGGGCTTGCAAGCTATTGAGATCGTAGGTTGGTCAGTCCGGCAAAGACCAATGTCTTAGAGTGTCAGGCGAGGCGCTGAACACGTACCACGGCATCCTCAAGGCAAGCTCCTTGAAGTGTCCTTGAAGTTTGCTGTTTCGTCTCTATCTCCCTCCTGACGGCCTTAGCTTTTGTCAGAGTTTCCTCAGATTACGTGAGCACATGTTGCGGTACACTCGACGTGGTCGCCCCCCTTGGAGAGCGGACAGTTGTGAGCAGTAGATTTCCAGTGAACCCCAAATTCATTAACCGTTAACCTTCATCTCTCGCCCTGCGCCTGAACCCAGACCTTCTTCCTCGATCTTTAGACGTAAACCCTGACGACCGATTTGCACCCGATTGTTCAATGCCCGCAACACGTCCCAGGTTTGCAGCTCCGTCTGGCATTGCAGGCAAGACAAACCTGGACTTTGAGGAATCGGACGGTTTACGAGGCGGGCCAGCGTTCAGAGTCAGATCGGAAGAACGAAGGTTTAGGTGGTTCCGGTTTTAGCAGTTAGCGATGACCTAGGTTTCAGACTGGTTTACCAGTTACCATGCAGCTTACCCGCTAATTTTGTCAAGTCAGCGTGTGGGGGCGCGATGTGTGCAATCAACCATTTATATAAAATCATGCAATTTTGAGGATGTGGTAGCAGCAACGCCGGAATCACAGGCTGGAAGCGGAATTTCCCAAAGGTTCACGTGTTTATATGCCCTGAACAAAAACAATTAAACGCTATCCCTGCAACCCTAAACTAAACCATGATTTCTGGTTGACCGCATGATACCGCATGTGTGTCAGAGGAGTCACAGAGGGTTATTCTAGTAGATCATGTGGCGCCGAATTTGACAGCACGCCCAAAAACTTCCGTCTCACTGCATTGCGGCCTGAAAGCTCGTGAGTTTTCCGTTGACCAGAACAGGAGGCCCATGCCTCACCAAGCCATTCGTCGAAACGGGCGAATTCAGAGTGTTTGCGGGTTTCGGTTCAGGGTCGGCTTTGCGCCTCGTGCCAGGTTCAGCTGGCGCTTCCGTGCTTTGAGCCTGCTATCAAAGCGCGACTGGGGGAGGGTGGATTTGGACAGGTCTTCTTGGCATGCTGGGGGACATTAGACGTTGCAGCGAAGAAGCTGACAGCAGACACAGGGCCACATGCTGCTGCGCTACAGTCTGAAGCTCAAATGCTGTTGGACTAGCTGTCGGCACCCACGTGTTCTATATGCCTATGGCATTGCCTGCGAGTATTTGCTCTGCGAGCTCATGGGTGGTTCCTTGGAAGATGCCCGGTACTGGAATGCGCCATTGCCTGCACCATTGGTTGTGACAACCATGTCCGAGATTTTGGAAGGCCTTGCCCATCTTCATCGTCTGTCAGTTGTCCACCGGGACATCAAGCCCGAGAATATCATGGTTGCAAACAGCGCAAAAGCCCCCTTTGGCTGCAAATTGGGTGATTTCGGATTAGCTGTGAGGTTGACGGGTGCGTTGACGCAGAGGGTCGGGACAGCAGGATTTACAGCGCCCGAAATGCTCTTGAACACGGGCTACGCAACTGGTGTGGATGTGTGGGCGTGCGGCCTTACTGGCTTTTGGCTGCTTTACGGCCGGTTACCTTGGGACGCGAAACTGAAGCTCGTGGACGAGATACAGCGCAAGCCCATCGGGCCTTAACCTCAGCAGGGAAGAGCTGCGTGTTCAGTTTGTTTTGCTTGCAAGCTGGCCACCGGAAGTCAATTGAGTTGATGAGCCGAGGCTCGCCAAACAAGGGAGGGCTTTCAAGAAGGTGCTCCAGCTGATTCGCCAGCTCTTGGAGCGAAAGCCTGCTCGGCGCCTGACTGCTGTGCAGGCCCTGCAGCACGCCTGCTTTTCTTGAGAAAAAAATGCTGCACGTAGTGCTTGTGCTTTTTTTGTTACATAGATTTTGCACATGCCGTCAAGAGTGACATTTATCTAGTGCAGGCTCAAGAGACGGAGCTTTTGAGTTCTTGTGGGAGCACCTGCTGCGACACCAAGGCCCGCAGGGCACTTTGACCCAGGCTCTTCATCGTCTCTTTCTTCCAGTGCATGCCTCCAAGAGTGCAGCTCGCTTTTCAGTGGTCTGCAAAGGGGTTCCACCAGGAGTGATCGTTTGTGCAAGCTTGCTAATCGAGAGTGCCCTGCCTTCACTGTGCCGTCCCGCGCATCATGGCATGCCTAATTCCTAGTACAACTCAGCATAGCTCGGCTCCTCGGCCGGAAGTTCTTGTCGAACAGACAAGCAGTCCCCACGCCCTTGCTTATGTGACCATATCTACGAGAAAGACGCCCTGCTCCTTTTCTGAGTTCCCCAAGGTCGGTGCATACGGTCGGGCCAGCTTGACAAATTTGCATCATGCTTTGATGAGGGTTTTTGCTTTTCACAGTTCATCTGCAGACGTGGCTTGGCAGGCTTTCGCCGTTTGCCTGCCGCACTCACAGCCCTGCCTGGAGCTTACCTGGCGTAGGAGGATGTAGGAGGCTGTAGGAGGATTGGTCTTGCAACTCGCAGCATTATGTTCGCATTCCTTTAAGCTTGACTGGCCCTTGGCCCTTAGACAGAAAACAAGCATGACAACGACTAAAGAGGGCGGCGCTCAAAAGCTGCAGGTGGTCGTTGCTTAATCTAGTTTTCGGCCCGCTTTGCTGGCCTGTGCTAATATTCCAGCTTCTCTTGCTCAGGTGTGGAGTCGAGCCTCCAAAATGCTTTTAGCGGCAGCAGCGGTTGCATTTTGGAGGAGCTCTAACATGCATCAAAACTTGGCAGTAGACTGGCCGGCCTGCGAGACGTGGGATGTGTGGAAGGCTGGCTCCATCAGCTGGACACGGGCTCTCGCACCGTCAACTCCAGCAGTGTCAGCCCAGAGGTGCGCCTTGAGCTCTCGATGTAGGTGATGGCAGTGCGAAGCACCTTGCTAGTGACTGCTAGTGTGTGTAGAACAGGCACGAGAGGAAGGCTCAAATCGCACCATGAGCTTCGCCGGCTCCCTACAGTACTGCAGGTTCATTTGATTTCATCTTTGTTGCACTAGCCGATCCATACCGATGATCCCCTTTAGGTGCCACATCCCGGTCTGTTCGGCATTCAGTTCGATCCGCTTAACTGTCCGTGCCATATGTGCTTGCCGCCTTGATATGTGTTGGTGCAAGCATGCCTTTGCCACCTCAGGTCCCGGCGCTGTGCTCATCAATCCAAACTGCAGCGTGAAGGGTAACGGGGCTGAGCGTAGTTAGTTAAGCCTTCCTGGAGGGCTCCCCATGTCCATGAATCAGATGAAAGCACGCAAAATACTCAGCTAAGGCATTGAGCAGATCACCCACACTAAACAGCCCAGCTCTAAGAAGCTGTTTTCATGATTTTCATGAAACATTCTGCAGTCATTCTGTGTTGTCCTCTCCTCTGAGGCCCAATGCCTATTGCTGTGGATTCCAGACTGTGGTAGACCTGGAGAGAGGGAAGCTTGGACCTCGGTCCAACTGGCGAGGCAGGTAGCGGCTTATGCAGCACAGTCTTCCATGGAACGAAGGTTTTTCAACTCCTCGCGGCTGCGTGCGCCATTGAAACCCTAAACCCTAAACCCTAAACCCTAAACCCTAAACCCTAAACCCTAAACCCTAAATAGGGTTTAGGGTTTAGGGTTTAGGGTTTAGGGTTTACCCCTTCGGCCTGGCCCTGCTAACCCCAACTCGCTCCTGACCCTTGCCGGCTCTTTTGCCGGCTGTTCCCTGCCTCCCTGGCTCCTAGCCTGGCCCTTTGTCTCCGACCCACACCCAGAACATCATGAAACTGAATAAGTTTTTACAAATGAACTGTTGCCTTGAGTTTAGGCCTAAACCCCAAAAGGAATAGGTTTGGGTGGTTTTGCCGCCTCGGACGGCGTGGGGTGGGAGAAAAGTGTTAGATGGCCCTCCACAATCGGGCCAAAGCTGCTCTTCGCACCTCACGAAGCTTTCGAGCTGGTTCCGAAACCTAACCTTCACAGCACCTACGCCCTATCACAGCAAACCCTAAACCCTAAACCCTAAACCCTAAACCCCTAAACCCCTAAACCCCTAAACCCCTAAACCCCTAAACCCCTAAACCCCTTAAACCCCTTAAACCCCTTAAACCCCTTGAACCCCTTAAACCCCAAACCCTAAACCCTAAACCCTAAACCCTAAACCCTAACCCCTAAACCCCTAAACCCCTAAACCCTAAACCCCTAAACCCCTAAACCCCTAAACCCTAAACCCCTAAACCCCTAAACCCCAAACCCTAAACCCTAAACCCTAAACCCTAAACCCTAAATTCCCACCCAGGCCTGCTTAGGCCGTACCCACCCTCTTCTAGGGTGCCTGGACCCAGCACTACACCCGACAGCGATTAACACCATCGCTTGGAGTTACTATGCAAGCCTAAAGAGTTGTGTTGAGCGTGAG